GTTACGAGCCGCTCTATTTCAGTTGAATACATTGTACTGTAAAACTAATATGAACCGTTTGCTTAAGACTCACTTGCCTTACACTTAAACATTCTTCGAATAAAGCGTAAGCAAATCTGTAAACATATGCTAAAGGCAGGACTTCCTTCTTGATCGCATAACTGAGGTTTCAATGTATAACATATTATAATTGAAGAAAATGATTACTCTTATTATAAGCTTCTGTGAATAGTGTGATAATAGTTCCCTACGCATGTCTCATTCAGGTGCCTGTGTTATTATTAACGAAATATGGCCGGCCCGATTTGACATACTTCTCCAATTGTACTGTAATAAAATGGATAATTACGGAGAATGCTGCCTGGGTTTCTACCAGGGTAAAATACACCTAAAGCATAGGGGGTCCACTTTTATGTTGCGTTTTCTTCCCTATAAGGAATGTTCTCATTGGTTTTCAATGGACAATTTTTGAAGTGTCCAGTTTTAGTAGTTAATTAGATAATTCGAAAGATACGCTACTGGGTTAGTCGACTTACCATTCTTTCAGGCCGCACACCCATTCGGACCATGTTGGCGTGCCATTGGTTATAATGCAGGTGTAAGGCGTGCAATTTCATGAGTGGTGACATCGAGGCCAAATGAGGACTCCGGCGCGGATGTAATGGCATGAGTGGCACTAGTGGATGCGGCAGGGATCGCAGCGTATCTCTCGGATTGAACATTGTTAGGTCACAGCAAGTAGAATTTATGAACAAGCAGAAGAGGTCCTGACACTTCTCAGGCGTTTCGCTTGATAACACTTAACGAATTGCTACTCTCAGTAAAGAAGCCGACTGTACAATACGAAATTAATTAACATGGCTTTAATTATACTTTAGCCACTTAAACCGATGCCGACAAAGTCTTATTCTAAGATTTCGCACTCACTGACATTTGTACTCCTACACGGACACAAATGTATTAATTTCACTTCGCACAGATCACGTAAATGCCTCCAAGATTTAAACAATATCACTAAGCACAAATTTATCGGATTGTTATGCGGCTGTCTTTCGATATCTGCTTCGAAATCTGCCTGTATTGCCGATGATTGGTGTCTCTCTGTGACCAATCGGTAGTATATGATCCGCTTTGATGGTACGCATATGGTGGTTTTCCTCCAGGGCCCAGCGCCTGGCATCGCAATGTTAAATAGTAATAAGAGTTGTGGTAATCAGTTACAATCAAGGCATCAGCAGAACCGAGCTCGTCTGGCCGACTCTATTCAGTGAGCCTGTCTGCTCAAAGGAGGCGGGCGACGTCCTGGAAGTTGACGTCGCCGTTATCGTAGTCGTTTTACTTTACTTTTGGTGTATAGCATGATGCGTACCCCGTCACTCAGCTTCTGCTGTTTCGCTCTAGCGGCCTGAAGAGTAGGCGCTATTACATAATGACGATTATCCGGACAAATCGCGCATCATAGCGTTGTGACTTCTGGCTGACTAATAGTGCCTGTATTGGCCAGGAATAGCGAATATCGTAAATTAACAGGCTGATGGAAATTCAAGAGATAGAGACGCGGTTTTAACATCCATACTCAGTGGTGGTGGCGGTGGCGACGGCAACAAGTGCTGCTGCTGTAGCAGCGTTACCAACAGTGGCTGTTGCTGAGTTCAGCAGGGATAGCGCGTAGAGAGAGGACGAAGCTAAAGAGAGTCACTAGTGCGCTAGTAATGGTCATCGAGCGTAACTGACGTTACGTAGATCCAGACCAAATCTCGTCCGTCCGTCCGTCCGTCCGTCCGTCCGTTTGTCCATCCGTTCGCTTTCTCGGCTGGTGATGCTTTTGGTTATTGTAGTGACACTAGTAGTAAGCAGTACGCTCTCCTCCAGCAACGTTGCAGTCCTCTCTCTCTCGCTGTCTATATATCTGTACCGACCTGTGGTTGCGGAAAGATGGATGCACCATCAGACAAACCGAAAAATCAGCGACTAACAGGACAGTCGATCGCTCTATCTGTTACTGCTAGTACGACTAGCTTAACAAGTTATCCAATACTAAGTGATAAGGCCCTTAACAGCAATTGCAGCAAACCCAAAAACGACGACGGCAAAGTCGACTGTCGCCCGTTTGTATACGACTATAGTGTTTCAAATTGGTGCGCAGTAGAATATCCCTATGTATCGCTTACGCAGTAGCCTGATTAGCTATAAGCAGTCTCTTCTTTGATCGAGAGCGAACGGTGAAAATCTTCGGTAAGGCCACCACAAACGACGTCCACGCAACGACGATAGGTTTTTTCTTCTTATTGTACGAAATACAATAGACGGATATCGAATTGTGGCGTTAACAGCATAACCGATTGGCGTTTTATTGATTATTATCGTCAATATTATAATTGTCGGTCTTATAGCTGTTGACCGACATCAGAGTTACCGGAGTCGTTATATTCAGTTAGGCCATGTAGTAATCTATATATCTCATATATGGTTGCGCGCCACAACAAATTCCTCAGTCTGGAAAAAATCAATTACCAATGCGCTTTACTGTTGCTATTTTGTGGAGGTCCTTTGATTCGTCGACTCCTCCCTCACTCCTTTTCGGCCCAGATGTACGAGCAGCTTAGTTGTCGTACGATTTCAAAACTACCTACCTGTCCGTCGATTATCCAGTTAGATGTTCATGTTGCTGACGGACGTTATGTTTGCAAGCAAAAACCTCTGTGCCTACTTGAATTGTGCTATGCATCTCTATTTGCATGTGAAGAAATACAGTTGTCGATGATGTCGGTATATATATGCGTGAGTGTGTGTTTGTGTGTGATACGGTTAACGACTTCGACAGCTCGAGCCGGGTAAAGGACCAGACATGAAAGGAATCATGATAGGTGGATACAAAATTGTGTTACACGATATTGCTACGATAAATCGGCCTGTTAGCCTTGGTGAACGGTAACAAAGTGTTTTGTGTGTGTGTGTGTGCGCGGAGTAACCGCCTGATCGAGTGAGCCAGAATAGACCAGTAGCAGTTTTTCGGTCACCCAAAACGTCGTGAAGCAAAAGCTGCCGCTTGCCACCGAACTACCATGCTCTACTCGTACTGTTTCGCTGCCTGTCCGCTACAAAAGTCGTCACGAGCCAATTATAAAGTCTAATATGATCTTTAATGTTACCTACCAAGAATATCCCTGCAGCTGCTTCTGTTGCTCTGTGGAAACTTCTGGATTCTAAGTGAACTGAAGTGGAGTGCTCTGTTTGATTGTCCATTAATAACGTGGCCGATTTTTCCCATGGATGCATGATTCTTCTGTGTCTATTCGTCTACCTATCTCCGCATCGGATCGCTGTGTAACTAAGCGTGTTCCACTTTTGAGATACATTGTTAATTATAATTTTTCTAGGCTTACCGCCGACGGAGCGCATTTACTATTGTTATTAACAAATTATTATTAATTCGGAAACGATACATTTACGATACTCGAAGGACACTATCAAATCGATTTGATCTAATTCCCGTTTTAATTTAGCAAAGCGTTCTTTTTTTAGATTTTTGCACGTCAGCACGGATCGAAATAGGTTTTTTCAACCTAAAAATGCGATGTATAACCAACAATGTTTTAATTTTGAAAAAAACTATTGTTTTTAGGGTACCATTAGAGGTTGAAACTGTGAATTTGGGAATGTGAAGGATGTCATGCACAGAGCTTTATCAACATGCTCTTGCGGTGCACGAAAGGAAGGAAGTTAGAGTGCACGTAATCTGCCCTCGTTCATTCGACGAGTAAACACGCAACTTTTTTTTTCAGGCGATGTGGTTAAAAAATAAAGCCTTCCAGAGTGCGAACCTTAAAACTTTGATCATTCATTTACTACACATGCGCGAACTAGTGCTCCTAAGGATATAAACAGATAGTAGCCATGGCTTATTATCACGATAAAAATTCCCCTACTAAAGTTGTAAGAAGCTAAAACAGAGATTTAGTTAAAGTTAGAAGCTTCAAATCAATGCCGGAGTAACGACACGAAGGTAATAAGGAACAGGTTTGCTGTAACAAATCAATTGTAACAGCTAAAGTTCCTCCTGCTCAATAGTTCTCGTGCAAAACGTGATTGAAAAAATGCCATTAGTAAACATGCATGATACATGTCTTACATGTGTTTATACTGCCTTTACCTGAATATAGCGAACTTAGCACTAATAATGAAGAAAACGTCGAATACGCATTACAAAAATTTGTGTACAACGCGGTAATAGTAACTAACATAGCTTTTAGTTAGAAAAGGGTGAAGGGTAAGACTTCTCAAAGCAAGATCTTATTCAATAAATATGGACGAAATGTGCGTTTTTTTCTTATTGTCTCTTGACATAAATCGTCACGCAATGTGGATTTTTATAATCAGATGAACTTAATATATGTTATATAAAATGTAATAAGAAGTCTCTTGTTGTCAGTAAAAGTAGATATATATATATATAGGTATACCTGAACGATCCGACGTCTAACGTAGTGGGCGTCATCCTTCCCTAAGGCAGTTTTCTATTAGAGCGATTCTGACGAGAAAATGCGTATGCACAGATCCGAACAGACGACGTACGACAAAACGGCTTGGGACAGTAACAAATTCGTGACACGGTGATATACATTTGCTTGTGCTGGTGGGCTCCTTGGTGAGCAAAAATAACGACGAGGAAAGCTGTTTGGGAAAAGAATTATGCGGGCAGATAGTCAATCTAACTGGAAAAGTTTGGACAGGGGAAAATATGAAATTAGTGGGCACGGCAGTTGACTAAAGTTTCACAGCAATACCTGGATGGGGTGTTTGGCGTTGATAAACGAGATTTGCATTAGAAGAAAGAGACTGATGCTTCCTTGTTGGATTTCTGCAGGGCAACAAACCGAACCGAAGGTTGCTGTTGACATGTGCTGGATTACATACTTAGATAATAAGAAAACTCAAATAAATAATAAAAGTTTAATTGTTTATTTCATATAAGTTTGTTTTTATTTGGCGTTTAAAAGAAAATTGTTTGTCTGTCAAATCGCACTTTCCACTCGATTCGTTTTTGAAGTAGATTATTATACGAAACGTCCTATATATTTATGCTTAATTAATGCTTAGATTATGGCCGCGTGCTCGGGTCGCCATTCGGCGCTAGGCGACCTTGTTTATAAAATAAATCCATCGGGTATTGTTAATATTAGAGCAGAACATTTATAGAAAAAAAAATACTAGGAGAATAAGATACAGTGCGATCGAAGGCATTCATTTAATAAACCTAAATATACAATCCCAACAAATGACGGCGGTGGCTTTTCATAGTCAACCGTAGGCCGGCCTAGCCTAAAACATGCTGTCCGCCTCGTCCTGATAGTCGTAATCGTCATGATTTACTTTCGTTTTATACCTAATATTTGGGATTTTCTCGCTACCTTCACTAGTCGGCCATACAATAGATAACTTCGGATCCTTGTTACTCCTTAAAGACGCGTCGGAGATAAAGATGTCATAGCAGCGCCTTGTGGTACCTGTTAAAGTGTCTTCGAAAACCTGCGACAGTCCTGGTATCAACTTGTCACCAACTGACTGACATACCTGACGTTGGGGAATTATACAGGACAAAGCGTTAATACTGGCAAGCAATTAGATTCGCGCATGAAAACAAAACCACTGGCGAGGTCCGTATTTATACATCAATCGTTTAGGCTAATTTGTCACGACGTAAATAGAGTAAACGATTCTAACAAGAAAAATACTCAGCGTGAATTAAAGCACAGTGTTATAATCCTATGAGTACCAACCTGGTGTATAATGTTTGCAAGCTCTCGCCGCTTCACGAAATACTTAAAGTTATCTTTGTTGCCTTTACGTTTGTTGAAAATGGTTAGTGTTATCTTCACGGTAATTGGTCGTGTTAGTACTACTTCGTCCTGGCTATAGATTGTACTAGTTTCAAACCACAAACTGCCCGGAAGGATGATACCGTCAATCTGACAGCCCTCCAGCGTGCATGAAGCTTGGCTGAAACAAAATTCAAAATTGACATTGCTGAAAAATTGAATTACTAATGAACTCTGCTACTCGATTTTCCAGTAAGCGGTACGGAAACATTAAAGGCCCCTGTTACGGAATTGTAAGTGTTATCACATTCATTCAAATGTGGTACTTACGTTATTTTCCTATTACTTGGATTCAGAAATTGTCCCAACCCAACGAGCGCTACAGTTGCTTTGAAATGCTTATCATAGCATTTGCAAATTCGAGCGATTTCTTGAAAAGCTCTTGATGTGATCTCACACTTATTTATCTCAAATACCCAGGGATCAAGGTTGTGATCTTTGAGAAAGCTTGGTAGGTAATCTGCGACGTATGCATTTAATTTTCTGAGTATTTGTGTATTATGCGAGTTTAAAATATGTATCCATGGTGATTTCCTACGACGTTTGCTTGCCCTCGGATCGAAATCGCCATCGACATCGTCGAAATGATCATCGTAAGCATCATCATCATCATGGCCTCGATAAAGACCATAATTTACGAAATTCTTCCTATGTCCAGGGGTCTCAAAACTATCCATTAACCCTTGACCGTCATCGTCCTCTTCGGACGATTTTTTGTGTCCAACTTCAGAAAATTCTTTGTCGTTATAATATTCCTTAGCGTTATCCCGGTCGCCGTCATCTCTCATGGAGGAATCTTTCATAGTCACTATTATGGGCCTGTAACCCCTGCTCTTGTTTTCAGGCCAATCGAACTTAGTTGGTGAGAACGAAGACCTTTCTCGAAGTGCGAAGTATTGTGTTGCATTATTACTACTGCCCCCAGTCTCATCCGTTTCATGTCGTTCATTTTCTAAACCTTCGCTTTTAGAAACCAATAATCTGCCTTCGTTCTTATTGCCTTCCTTTTTATCGTTATGATTTTCCTCAAAAAAATCTATTTTCCAAGACTTCGACTTATTTTTTTCTAAAAATGCTCCAGCGTTATCGTCGCCATCAGCTTTATCTCGTTTGTTATCATTGTTACCTTCGTCGTCGTCGTCACCGTTTCTCTCCTTCCCAGATTGTTCAACAGGTTTTCGCCCACTGGATGAATGTTCTTTCAACGAGAAAGTTACGCTAGCGCCACTGATTTCATTGAATTTCTTCGAGTCTTTGCTCCCGTTGCCTGTCTCCTCGGGGTACGATTTGCTTTCTTGTCCTTTCTTATCATCGCCGTTAGCTTTTTTAGACACTGAGATTGCTAGTTCCGTTTCATGATTAGCATTTTTTCTGCTAAAAACAAGCAGCTGTTCGTGCCCTCCGTTGGTCTGAAGTTCTATAGAAAAACCATTATTTTTTTTAATACACTCTTGTTTATTATTGTTTATTTGAGAAGGGTTACCCTTTAACGGGAACATTGATGCTACTGGCGAAGAGTCGTCTGACCTCCGATCTTTTGGACCCTTATCAGTGTTAGAGGAGTTACCTTGTGACACATTCGTAGTTGTATCTCCCGTGGAAATGTTTATTAGTGTATGATCTTCGTCTTTCGAACTCGACAATTCATCAGAATCGCTACTATATTCCTTTACTTCACCACTATGATAATCTTGGTCGTCGCCTTCATCGCTGTTGTCTTTAGTAACAGTTTCTCGCTTTCCTTTTTTGTGATCATTGTCATCGTTTTCTTGACGTTTGTCCTGTTTTCCTTCCGCTTGATCAGACACCTCCTTTTTCGATGATGATTCTCGCTTCGAGAGTCTCGTCGCGTGGTGGTTAGTCCTTACATGGGCCTGACTATCACTGTTGCTCTTAACCAAATCATCCTCAGCATTGTCAGAGAGCTTATCTTTCAATGTATCCCATTTTAGAAGCTTTTCTAAAGGTTTCTTGGTTTGGTTGCTGTTCAGCAGTAATGAGCTATCTTTCGAGCCCACAACCGTGTGTTCTTTGTCTACAGAGCTTTTACCATTTTTGTCACTGTCATCTTTTTGGCCTTCTGGTGGCACTTCACGAGGAAGCCTTTTCCTCAATAATTTCCTTGATGGCCTGGCAAAGTCGTGAGGGTGGCTGGCGTGCTTGTCATGCGCATCATTTTGCTTGAGCCTTATAACTGTAAACGGGTTCCTATCATTGTTATTCTTCTCACATATGCCCTCAGAAGAACGTTCGTCCCAGCCACTATCTTTTTTACCATGATCTTCGTTTGAGCAACGGCGCTTTGCCACACACGTATTAATAAATAGCAGACCGATGCAAAAGATAGCCAACACTGCATTGATGTGTTCCATAGTTAATCTAATTAGGCAGTTATTTTGAATAACTCCTTAGCATCGATAACAAACTGGCCAAACTGTGTATTTAAACGATACTCCGCTGGTGGTTTCCGTTGCATGAATAAAATGGCGGGGTCAACTTCTATCAGCATTGTTTTATGTAAGCTCATGTAAACTGTAAGACGATTTACCCGCGCTATCTGAATGGCTGTAGTGGCATTATTAGAGCGCCATTGTAACGCTGCCTATGAAGCTTTATCGTTATTCGAGATCAAATAGCTGGCGGAGATATATCGCGTTAATGTCGAGAACGTGAGCTTCAATTGGGACTTTATCGTTTTGCTGCCCGGAACAACATAATGACTGTGGTGATAAATAAATAAGCAAAGGCAAAACGCAGAGATATAGTATTCAAGTATTCAGCTAAAAGGCTCAATTACCTCTTTTGCTATAATAAAACAATATGTGAAAATACAGAAATGGCCACGATTTATCTAACATGCACGTGTTATAATACGGAATGGCTGTATGCACATGCTGTTAGGCTGTGCTCTCCAACCTATACTTGCAATGATGCTTACCATTTTTTTTTTGCTAAAAACGTATTTTTTATGAGCTATTTATATAGTAGACGTGTCAATAGAAAATAACGAGACTTTCAGATGCATTAAACCCGTTGAACTCTAAATATATGAACATAGGTAGAATAGGGGGCTTCTTGCTAAAAGCCAACGACCAAAAACTTGGATGGTACTAAGAAGTCACTAGGGCTTGTAAGTTTTGTCGTTTGCCTGTTGGACCACCAGTTCTTTTACTGTTCCTGTTTAATTTTCTAGTTTCTCTTTAACTGAAAATTCGAGTTTTGAATTGTATGGATGCAGCCTTATCGATTTCGAACACCGGTAACGGAATCGAAATCGGAGACGGTAGTTTTTCGTTACCGCGATCATTGGTTTGTTCTAATGGAATTTAGAGTATAACTATTTTTTTCAACAACATGGCAATAAACATGCAGTTTGTAGGACGTATGACATTAGCACGATATATCAGATCATTTATAACAAACCGAACGCGAGGCCCGAATTTCACTCGGAAGAGAATTCTATAGATATGAGCCCTAGAAGCGGAAGATCTGCTGACCTTTATCGTGAAAAGACGTTGCGCCAGTATTCCGTACATACGTCGAGATGATTATAGCCAATTCATTTAGAACTAACTTAAAGGAGTTATTAAACTGCCTATTTCAGATCATCCGCGTAATGGGTAAATTAGCATTGTAACCAGTTCATAAAGGAAATACACAAAAGGTGCTTCGCGATGCTAGTCGTAAGTTCGTGACCGTAGACGTACATAGTTATACGCACATATATTAATTCATGTTTTCAGGATTTTACCTTGAGGACCGTCTCTCCGTAAACGGAGTTTTGGAAATCTCTAACTAGCCGCTTGCTAAAACTGAGACTCGAGATTTCCCTTTTTAATTTCTATTTTTTTAAGTTTTTATATAATTTTAATAATAATAATAATATACTTTTTTCAATCGAGGTAATCTTCAATCGAAGGTAAAAACTTTAGCTGAAGTCTCTTAAATACATAAATGTTATATTCAAATACTTCTTCTTGGACAAGTTATTTACTTTGCGTGCGAGATGATATTCCATAGTAGTTATCATTTATGTACAACGCGTTTTGTGTCCTTACAAAAACTAAGACAGAAATAACTGTATAATAAATAATAACAATTAAGAACACAACGTAAATGCTTGTTACATGCGGACAGTTGTTACAGTGTCAGGGTTGAAACATCAGAGGTACAAAATGCCTAACCCTATGGGGTCCCGACCGACGCTCGAAGTCTTTGGAGATTTTTTGGATGAAAATACTTCATAAAAACTTGTGTCAAAATTTGAATATACTTGAAATCTGAATATTGCATTGGATACCTTTCTTTTTTTTCAATACACAGAACTTCGTGCTTACAGGCAGGAGATGAAAAAATCGGAAGGAATCTTACCTCGAAGAAGCCGCTATGCGTACTCAGTTAGTTTTTGGAGTTGGGTAAGCTTCCGAATATTTTGCATATGAAATTCAAAGTCAATGTTGCGTAATGTTGAACCTGTCATTTCTTATCTAAGTATTTCGTATGAGGTTAACTTGTATATAGTCTACAAGCTTAGGGTAGGTCGAACAGTCGACACTTGTGCATAGAGACAGCGAAGCTAGAAGATCATGTCCCCGCGATGCGTAAACGAAATGAAATACAAACACAGCAAGATTGTTTGTTCAGTAGCTTTTTATCGTTACCGTTGAATGACAGCTTCGGCAGAATCACATAATTCGTTGACTTTTAGGCCAATATTACCAAGTTTGCTCAAGGAAAATTATGTTCTGTCAGAAGTTTTCACAGAGACGCCATAACAGACGATAGAGAACATGCAAACGCTTAATAATATATCTGATTGTTACTCTTACTCACGTGAAGCGAACGTGTGGCAAATACGAGGTTACGTGTTATGAAGATGTCCTGGCTCAAACTTTATATAACTTAAGCATTACGTCATGTCCCTAATATAACATATGGTTCTCCGGAATATCGATAGTAAATTACTCATACTATATGCTATGTGCTATATACCATACCGTTCGCTATATTTAGCCAGATCCAATGTAAATGTATCTAGTCAGTTCCACACGACCATTCTGGCAACAACCTTTGTCGGATCAGGGCTCATCAGAGCAATGTGTAGCATTAGGCTGAAAGAAAAGTTCTCACGCTTAAAAAACGTTAATGTTTCAATTACCTTAACTTGTTGTTTATTTCCGAAAGCCCCTTATTAGTGTTTTGCAACGGTATAACGGCATTTGGAGTGAAATTTCGACTCGAAAAAACCGTCCAAAGGTTGATGTTATAGCGAGAAAGAAAGGACAATATCGACGCTTTCTGCAGTTTATATCTCATCGAGGCCAAAACGCTGCCCACACAGTCCGGGACGCTTATCTCACTTACGGTTATTGTACCAGCGCCAAAGAAACCGCTCAAGAATGATTTCGCTCAAGAAGGAAAACGATGTTCGGGGTTTATAGGATGCCCCGCTCTGGCAATCTGATGGCCATAATCTGAAGGCACCTTTGATAGCGGACGGCGAACGAATAACTCGACAATTGACCAAAAAGCGGATGTTAGCAGCAATACGACGATCGTGAAGTTCCTTGGGTCTAATAGAAACTTGGAACTTGAGCACCTAATGAACAAAATATTATGGCTTAATATTGCAAATAGGTATCTGGCCCGGTGCTTAGCGTCACGTGGCCACAATGATCGATTTTTGCAGGGAATTGACGTCACTGATGACAAGAGCTGTCCGTACGTCAACATGAAACGGAGAGAGAAATAGGTCTCTCCAGAAGAGAGTCGGAGTTATCTAGAAAAGTTTATCCTTTGCGTTTGGCGGAACTGTGGAGATACACTGATACACTGAGAACGGTCTCCTGCGAACGAATGAGCACGGTCCTTTGACCCGGCTGCGTCGAGTCGATTAAGCTATTCAAGGAAAAAGGCCCGACAGGTCATTTTGCCTCCTAAAAAACCGAGTTCGCATACGGCAGACATGGTCCAGATCGCGCTCCTGAACTGCGAACTAGCAGTTGTTTTACATACTTCATACGCTCTGGATATTGCGCCGATTCTTAGTTTTGTTGTGATTGGGCGATAATCCTCATGGCCTCACTCAAAGCGTAGTTAGAAAACTTTTTCAAAGCGGGACCCGCGGTATTCTAACGGGGCGGCATATATTAATCACTCTGTGGAAGGATGGGCGAAAGTCGTAAACAATGACGGAGCATACATAGCCTAATGATTTATTGTCACAGTAATAAAAAGTTATGCTTCCCATTCATTGAAAAACGCGGGGACTTTTTTCCAACTTTTCTAATCTAATGGTTAAAGTTTAGACCTTTAGTAGATTTTACTATTAAGCAATAACATGTTTTGATTCGATAAATTTGTTTATTTAGGTGTACCTTCGCCATGAGAAAATTAATTGATGTTTATAGTTTTAAATAGTAGCATATATGCGCAACTTAATAAGTCCTGCAAATTCTATATGAGAAAATGCATTCACATGAACGGACACTGTTTCTTCGATTATCCAAGATGAAGCCAATTGATTTACGATAACACATGGTACCAATCATAGAACGAGTACTCAAATATTATTAAGCTCTATTAGATTGTACGCTTGATTCTCAGAAAGGGCTGGACACCCTCTTTGCCAATATCAGTTGGTTCATACAATTTTTTCATAATTAAAGATAAAGGTCATAAATGACCTAAACAATAAATCGGTTCAACATGATTCGCCAACATATGTGACATTCTATTTATTCTATAGGAGTTACAGAAGCCAACGGATTCGATTTACTTCTTCGTAGACTTTGAAATTCCGCATGCGCACCAATATGCGTTGTATTTTACCCAAATTGAACTTCCTGTTTCGCTGTATTTACCTTCCCGTCTGATACGCTGCTGCTTGGCGGCCATAATTGTATGGAACACACTCGATCGTATACGATGCTACGAGTGTACACGATACAGTGACATCCCACGCAACGTAGCAGCCATACCGCGGCTATAGAGTTTTGTTACTAATTATAATCACACGATTAGAGTTGTTAATATTCTCTAAGTTTAGCAACAATTGCTATGCTATGACTATGAATTATTCGATGTTTATTGTGCGGTCTTTCGGGGAAGTTCGTGTTAACTCTCCGCACAGTCACCATTGACCAGCGTGCACTTCCTTAACGTAAATTTCCTTTACGTTATATACTAATAAAATATTACGTTAGAACCGGCTTCCGGACAGTCAGTAAAGCCGTTGTAAGCGAACGTCGTGCTGACAGGTTTCAATTCCTACAAAAAATTTTCTCAGCTAATGGCAGGATAGACCAATAACAATAATAACCAGTATAACAATAACCAGTGACGAGCCATTGAGCAACTTCTAGGTAAAAGTCTACATAAGCTCTCGGTTTGAGCATTTTGCGGTCGTCAATGTAGAGTTAAATAGCTTTTTTATGATCTCGTCCGGGCTTGATAAAGAGAAGCTGCAAAAAATCCAGGATTCTATGCGTATTATATGCCTAGCTGTGTTCATAGAAACACTAAAGGCACTCGAAAAGTCCCATAAAAGAAAAAAGTTTCTATATTCAATAATTTTGAAAGTCCGCAGTATAATAACAATCGATTGCGAACCGTTTGCAACTTGTTTGTGCTGTCCTATCGTGACCTATGTCTATTGCCGGCGCCGCTCATTCGGCTGCTCTCGTTTCTTCGCACCATACGGAACATACGTATTCTTTTGTTCGACAACACAGACCAAAGACATTGTCCACTGTTAGTGTATCGCTAACCGCTCGGCGCTTAACTGAGGCTATTTCTAGACTCCACTGCCTGTACTCAACAGACGCACGTCAGCGTCAAGCGGCTCTGTCGAGTTTTTCTGCGTTTTTATTCTTGTACCACCTTCTATTCGCGGCTGTCCATAAAATATCGTTTCTTTCACTGTTTCTATAATAGGTCTACGTGGTCTTGTAAAAGGAGGTGGCCTTTCTGGCGCAAACAAGCGGAAGGAAGTAGTTTGCTATATAAAATCGGTCGGGTGCAAAGGCCGATACGACTAAAAAGGCGGAGGGGTTGTTATGGTGAGAGCGCGCCGTTTCGTCCTGTGCTGCCAGCTAACAGCTCTTGGCGGTTCTCTTTTAGCTGGCAGTAATGGTGACGGCGGTAGTTGCGAGGACTGCCTGCGGCGGCAGCAGCAGCGCCTTATCCCTTTAGCCATTATGTCCTTAGGAGTGTGCCAGCCGACAGGGTAGCAGCGCTGTTAGAGGCAGGCAGACGGGCAAGCTTACTTAGTCTCTTTCCCCGGATCGAAGGCAGCAGGACCTTTCCCACCATTTACGTCTACGTTTCACGTTGTCTCGTCTAACTAATGGCTGCCGCGAATGCCACTGCAGCATTGTCGGCATTGGAGCGGCGATCGAAGGAGCGCACCAGTCGACGGCATCGATTGCCGTTGATTGCTTATGCTGTTATACTACAGATCGACATCGAATTGTTGTCATCGTGAGACAAGAGAACCTCGTCTTGCCGCAAGCCCGTGAAGCGGAACTTGTTTGAGCTCTGGGTGCCTGTGTGACGTTTGCTGTTGATGTCTGTCCCTTCGTTCCCTCCGTTCCTTAAAGTCAGTCAGGCGGTGTCGCGGTTGTTGGTAACCAGCAAATAACGAAGAAGTCAAGCTACCTAGTCATAATTCTACATAAATCTGTAGCCCAGTTAGTAGTCGAAGCGTACTCGAACTCGAAACTCGTATGAAAATTTAGCACTCGATGAATAAACAGCAAAAGTTAATGCGGCCTTTGTCCACCGACGATAATTTCCAAACGTTGTCAACTACCACCTGACCAATGAAAGAATCTGAACAGCCCTAAAAAGTGTGACATAGGTGTGACAAAATAAAAACCTTATTTCAGCTTATAATCAATCAATAAAACCGACGGTTTTCACTGCTTAAGCGTAAAAGTGTCAGGTTTGAAAGATCAGGGTAAACCTAATAGAATATTCAACAAAAGACCAGTATTAAACATTACCCTAATATTAAGCTTCGTTTGTATTATTGAATTGCTGAAATCCAAAAGATACCTTACGTTCACCTGTCTCCGCTGCGCAACTTGCACGCATGTCAAGTCAGCCTATATCTCGACAGCTGAAGATCATCAGCAGCGTCGCAGAACACGAAGTCGCCATATACCAAAATCCATTTACAGATATTAGATGCTGTGTGCGTACATTCACTACCGGTGGCGCCAAAGACAACTTGTTTCTCACAAATTATCACCAGTAAGTTCAGAGACTGGACTAAAGGGAAACAGCAAGCGAAATAAGTGACTGAAGAAGCTGGAGCTTTGGAAGGCCACCCATCAAGGATTTAGCCGTGCATTTCGTTATCCTAGCGCCGTACCCGCTTTGCTTCGTCGAAAGTTTACATTCAACAACAATCTTATTGCACGGTAGGTGAGTTATATAGTCGTCGTATATTCACTAAGTAGCGTCTGTGTGATTGGCAACACGCGATTATATAGTCTGCTGGGAAGTTTGTGTAGCTGTCTTGATAATTCATAGTTGGATTCTCGTGGTGGCAGTAGTTCATATGTGAAGGGCAAAAGTAATTCTGGCGCAACCAAGGCATAATGCCTAGTTTATGTGGGCTAAGTGTAGAGTTCGCCCCGCCGGTGGGGTTAGATTAACAGAAAATACAAAAACTACTGACACAGCAAACTGGTGTAAGTATAACAAGTAGCTGGCCAACGCTAATGCGAATCCGACCTTCTAGCCCGAGATGTTTCAAAGAGAAAACTCGGCCGGTTATTAATTCCAAGGACAGATGATTACGTGCTGTGGCAACGTTACTCCGCAACCGGGGCAACGCAATGGGTAATGCAATGCAACTTAACAATCAGCTTTTGCACTAACTGAATTTAAAATAATGTTACGATTGCTACTGTCCAGCTTCTTTTTTTGCCATTTCTATTGCTACGTAATATTTAAAGCACTGTGCAATTCATTACTGCAAGCACTAGAGTCATTCATAGACATTATTAAGTATCAACTGCTGCATTCCATACTGTCATTGTCATTATAGTGTCTATGTAAGGTCAATAATAGGGCAAGCTAGTTGATCGGTGGGCTGCCGGTCACTGTGAAACCGCTCCTGGTGATGTGGCGCTACGTTGAACTGTCAATCTGGCCTCAAACCGACGTCCGACCGTTTATGGCCATCGGCCTACCAGGCGCAGTCCCGGCAAAAGTAGGAAAAATGGTAGCAACACTGAGGAATCTGGTACTTTAGCAGCAGCCGTTTCACATAATTCAGTCATGCTACATCACGCAGTTCCGTTAAGCTGTAATACCCGCTTCAAGGGATACAATTCATCTAGTTCAAGTAAACCCCTTATGCCTAATTCTCAGGATGGCCCCAGTCGAGCTGTGTGGCCATTCAGCTTGTATCGTATTATTATTAAATAAGGGCATATGTGAGCGCTAAGTCTGGCCCACAAACCCGTCCGACCGTTCTGACCCCGTGTTTGTGCCTCATTTGCGTTACTTACCGCAACGCTATCAGCAGAACAAGGTGGCTGCGTTGCAGCTAATAAATGTCCGCTACAATCTGGCCTGACCATATTGATGATACTATAGCTAGCTCGTTTGGCATGCTGTCCGTTCAGATAAAGAGCAACTTACTATGAGCGGGCCAGCTGCTTTGTCCTGAGCCGCCTGCACCTTCGCGCGCATTTGCGTAACACAGATGCTACAGTGTATATGCACTGGTTTAATATTATAGTAAATTCATCTGCTGCGATCGTGAGTTGGGCACGCATCAGCTATGTGGGGGCGATCTATGCAGCGGTTCAGCGTTGTGACACAACCCCCACATATAATAGTTCAGACAAGATTCCGGACACGCCCAAGTTGACGCTCCCAGTTCGCTGACTCCGATGGCTCGAGGTGGCCACTATCAGACGTAACGAGAAGCTTGTGCTCACAATCACTGAGTGTCCGCTGTACAAAGTGGTGCAATGGCGGAAAAAAGCCAGGCCAGGTTTCATAGAGCCTAAGTGTACGACGTTGATGACATGTGCTATAAGTTTTGGGCAGTGGTGTGAATTTAATTGTCTGGAATTTGATTACGTATAATAAGCACGTGGTGCTTCGCCTAAATAGTCGCTTAGCTCAGCATTGGATTACAAAGCTGTGAAAAGTCGTCGGCGACTTGCAAAAACAGCAGGAAAAAACTAAATGATCAGAAAGGCTTCTAGGTGTATGGAAAATGTGCTAGCGTTTTTGAATATTGCTCGTAGAGCAATCCCTAAAATATTGTGTAATGTTACGAAGTGAGTCGTACTCGTAGTAAATGCGGCTTTATAAGAGTCGTTAAAGGGCTCAGAGTTGTAAACAGAGGAAGGTGACGGGTAATCACAAATAAGCACGTTACTGAAGCTAGCGCCTGTTTAAACTTTATTGACGATGAATGAAGGTAAGACTTCGTCGCTGATTGCAAGCAAGATGCCCCGGCCCTTGACAGCCCAGTCTAACAACGAGCTGCAGATGCGACTTCGGGCCCAAAGCCAACTACTTCACGTAAAAGATGTGCTCGAGAAAATCCGTTTACTCTGCCTACAACGGGGTGCTAGTGGCATCCTCGGGCTAAGACGGTAAGTGGAAATTGGACATACATACGTATACATGACCATATGTATGCACAGTAGCAATCAAAAGCAGTATAATCCGTATCTTTTTCTCGGCCTAATTTGCAAATGATAGAAAAAATAACTAGTATTTTGGTTCCCATATATCCATCAGCGATAATTCGAAGAGCTAAAACGCAAGAGTCTTTTAGTAATCCTATTAATTAAAACCTTTTTTCCTACTTCGTCTAATGCATGTCAACTTGACGGTAATTCACTGCGTTTAGATTTTACTTATTATTCAAGTACATGATCTAATAGGTATAACAGGCCTTAGATATTCCGTGTACAATTTAATTTTTAATAAATTTTTGTCAGGCCACGCGATTGCCAGGCTACAAAAATTTTTTGTGGAAAACAGCTCTTCACAGATAATTATGCCGTCAATTCGGGGTCGTACTCCGTATATGACTTAAATGTCAGCGCGAGAAAAACAATCTTCATCTTGAAAAGGAAAAGCGGTCAAATTCGATTCGAGGTGAAATCTTGAAGACAGAGTTTTGAAGCTTCTTACTGCATAAAATCTTGTACTGTACATTTAAATTTAGCGCCGACTAGTAGGCTCTGTTGTACGAAGTTTGGTATTGGAGCTGCTCCTTGCGGATGTTTATAGCGAGCAACCTCATTACCTGGGCCTTATCGATTTTTCTTCCTAGCCTAGTTAAGGTGTACCCTGTATTCCTGTTTTGATATCGTAACTATAACAGGCCCCTTTCTGATTTGTATGCGGGAGCTAAACGTCTTTTGTTCAACTGTCGTGACGCTCGATCCTTTCTAACTAGGTTGGATAGTACTAAACAATTTTTGATTTATAGTGACAATAACATTGTTTCCTATGCTGCACATGAGGCGTTGGGCTTTGGATCGGCCGATGCGACGAGGCTTGTTACTACCAAGGAAGTCATGGTAAAGCCAATGATAAAATCAGTAGAATAACATGACAAAAAAGACGTACGCGGACAGCGGTAGATGCAGGACCGCATGAAGCCATTCGCAGAAGTAGAACAGATGACAATCGTATATGCCTACAAATGATAATTACATACATAAGATGTGAGCGATAGTTTCTGAAACTGATTCGTGCGAATTGCCTGAATCCTCATATTTTCTTCTGATCGCTACTATCTCAAATCGGCAGTGAGAAGTGTAATGTATCAACTCATAGACTATCAAGTAACTTGAACAGCGAGCTAGGCGAAGGAACAGCAACAAAAAAGGGCACTATCGACAGAGTGAGCGCACGTAGCAAACCTGTAGTCTAGCTACGGCCTTGTTAGTACCTGTAGACCCCAACGGGCGTGCGCATATACCTGAGTTGAATGTTGGGCACGTTTGCGGCCGTCCATTCCAGTGTAACTATTAGAAGTAACTGATTGACTGATGCGAGCATATAGGCCACTGTGTGATGGTGCTCCGCTGCGCAATCATCAAAAAAAAAAAAAAATTCGCCTATCTAGCTCGGTCGTTTGGTTAGGTATCTTGCCTGATTGTGGGCTTTGCCCATATAGATAGCCGTCGTGAGTATTCTACAGTAATTGAAACATAGATATAAATCAAATTAAATTCGTATAGAGTAAGTCTTTTTGCTTTGAATAAGCATGTGTTCGTAATGTTTAAGCAATTTGGAATTCGACCAAAACGCTAACCGTCTCTACGAGTTAACATTCGACAATAATGAGTAAAAGTGATGCTGATCATTATTGGAACGAGAAAGGTCAAGTAAAGCTCTTTGAAAGTATACCTTGTTACCCAAATAGTACTGGGAAGTGTTGAATAATGCCCATGAAGCTTACTAATCCTATTCAACTCTGGCTGTAAACGACAATGGAACGATAAATGTCGAACGAAAACAGTCTACTTTCCAGAGCAAAAGCGACGAGCCGATATTATTGTCTTTAATTGAAACTTTAACGATAAACGAATTTACAGCATTATGGAACATTACGAAGGAAACGAATTAAAATGGGTTGTCAGGAGTTTTTAGGCGACGATGGCGGTATACACTAAGTCTATCAAAGAACTAGCCACCGCGATCCAAGTTATCTTTGGCTGTCACGGTAGGCTTCAGGGCGTTTAGCGACGATGCTGTTTGGAAATGATAATCTTCACATACGCACGGCTGTCCGTAATTGCGCTCGCCTCTGTGCCTTTTCTTCATGCCTCTCCTCTTCCTCTATCTGTCTGCGTGTTCCCTTAACAGAATGTTCCTGCGAATGGATGATAACAACTCGGGCGATTTGTCTCGAGACGAGTTCGCCAAAGGACTTGATGACAGCGGACTTCGTGAGCAGCTCTCGGATGACGAAGCTCGTGAACTGTTTGATATCTTCGATTCAGATCACTCCGGAACTCTTAGCTTCGACGAATTTCTCAAACGCATACGAGTAAGTTGGGCCGATGATATTTTCGATTTTTGCCGTACGATATAAACCTAGGCAATTCTATCGCATAAGTCATTCCATCGTCGCCTAATTTGTTAATTATTACATAAATATATATATACATAAATTGATTTACGAATGCATGCACTAAATGGGCGAACCGGTCAGCGTGTGGCGCGCAAGTTTGAACGTGAGCAAAGCTGATGAATTGAAAGCAGCCGTGGTAATATATATTATATGACTTATCCAACGGTGACGCGTAAACCTTGTTCTTGCGGCTTTTAAAACTTTTACTTGCTCCTGTTGTGGTTCTCCATACCACAATATGCCGCATTACGCAGCGTACAATATATTCATTTCAATATGGAAATGAGATAACACTGTATTTGTGACGTTTTTCTGAATTACTTGTTGTTTCTTTCGTGCTTTCGGGACTCTATTCCACATATTTGCGTGTTTACGCTGCCTGTTGTTACTTACCCACTCGTGCTTGTGCTAGAACATAGAGACCTCCGGTGAAGCAAAGCTCTGATGGTTTAAGAAACAAAAGCTATATGCTGTGAAACTGTAATACATTGAGCTATGTATGACATATCTGCGTAGCCATTGAACTCGTAAGCTATATCGCCTGAAGACGCACAATTTTGATTTGACAAATCTTAAATAGGCTCGAGTATCCGACAACAATGAGGGGCTGCTATATACGCATATTATGTGTAATGTATTCACATAAGCTTATTTGACGTAAACAACATCAGCATCATGCCTTTACAAATACTCAGCCACGCCTACGTTCCACGCGCGGTAGCCATCGGTGGTGAATGATATTCAAATTATCATTTATAACGGATTTTTCTATGTCTGTCATAAAGGATGCGCTATTCCCAACTAGAAAATGATGACTGATACAATAATAGAGGCCACTGGGCTTCACACAGAAGACTGCCCCCTATAGTACAAGGCTTCTCAACTATGATACTAGCACTCGACTTGAGTATAGGCCATCCAGCCATTGGAGAGGCTTTAAAAGCACGCAGCATGTAGACAATGTGGTTTGTGTAGTCCTAATCGTGTAAGTCCATTTGCTATTGCTGTCCTTTCTTCTGAATTGTTCAAAATTTTTATTAGTTACTTCGTGCGAGCTACTCAAAAGGGGCTAGCTTTGTTTAATAATTGTTCCTGCTGAAGATTTTGTTTACAGCTTCCACATACGTAAATATACAGCTAAAGTCGTAAAGTCCGTACGTCCAGTATCAATCGTTTGTTACGTTGGGTCTATTGAGAGAATTGATTGGTCTGACTATGACGTCGACTCACGACAGGACGTATTCAAAGGTCGAGAATACGCGTACTTCTGCTAATCTACATTTGTTAGTGGCCTGCTTTTGGACTACAGTACATACAACTATTATTAGAAGAAAGCAGGCATACTTCTGATTTACAACTGACGCATCGACAGGTTTCGCAGCTACACATTAACAATAATGCCGGGAACGTAAACCCTTCAAATGGTCTCATAACGAGGTTTATTTTCTACTCGACTTGAGATAGGTGCAACTTTTTTTTGTCAAAAATACGTTAATTGCCAAAACTTAAGACTGTCGGTAACAATAATAACTGCAATGCTATTCGTATGCAAAGCCTTAGCATAATAAATACCCTTAAACTTAAACATGGACAAGATCTAAAAGATTATTAGTGTGCTTGCTAATGTAACCTTTATCTCCATTAGTTCAGTTATTTGAGTGTTTTTATAAGAACATATTTGACTATAATTATGTGTTTTAAATTAGCATGTTCTGTTAACGGATATAAAATTCTACAGGAACTTTCTACAGACCTTTATTGTGTAGACCATTGCGGCACCCACAAGCTGCTTATTCTTATCCGAGGTCTCGTTTCTTATGAGCCTACGTTGTTATTAGATAGGGTATATAGAACCTATGGGCTCACAGGACCTTGATCATACCCTTTTGTTACTCTGCTATCATAGTGCTACACTGTAGAGGCTATTTAGAGGCCACTGTCGAGCGTGGAGAAAAGCGGCCCTCGTTTGGCGACATTGACAAGAGATCTAAATGGAACCAGCTCACTTTTCTGTCCGTTCGGATCCTCCCCGCGGATCTATACACGCGCTACGAACTCCAACGGCTAAAAGTTAACCTGCCACAAGTAAAAATAACAATGATAACAAAACTATGATCATTCATGCAAGTTTGTTCATATTATTTGATGGGTGTAAACAGTGGGCTAAAGAACGACAAAAAATAGACCAATCGACTTTACTGGGTAAACATAATGACGAAGTACGCTTTGATCCGACTTCTCAACTTCATCTATGAAGTCTAGATATTATCTTCTGAGAATGTTAAATATACATTTGTTTTGCCTGCGGGCACAGTGACCAATATAGTGATAAATTATAAGTATATGCATAGCTTCTACATATATGAAATTTATATACGGTTTTTATATAGGGTTTTCGGAAAAGTACTCTTCGTTCCTAACCCAAAATTAAACTGAATATTTTTTTTGTATATCAAGACAGTATTACTCAATCGATCACCTTTTGCCATTTTCCTCGATATACCATAATCTTATTATCGTAAATTTTTATGGTTCCTTAGCGAGACACTGTGATAAGTGACGTTTGCATGTTTCTGTTAAAACTAAATTAAGACCATTAAGGGAGTTCTGCACAATCTGAACGAGATGATCGTCAGACACTGTAAAGACCAGATTATACAGCGGATGCATTCAAATTTCTCAACCCACGTAGATGTAGGTGGCGTGACATTGTCACGGTGGAACACAACGTCCCTCTGTTCACCGATTCCGGCCGATTTTTTTCAATGGCTTTTTGTTAGTTTTTGCAGTAGAGGTCCAAATCCAGGAGGCAGCAATTTATAGTACACGATGCCTTTCTATATCCGCCGAGCACATAGCGTCAACTACAGTGGCGTCAGTCTGGGCCTTGCCGTAGATTGTGAAGCGCACTTTTTTGCGTATAACTGTTTTGTATGGTTGACTCTTTATCACCCATCAATAACCGCTTCAAAAATGGCCCGATTTCATTGAGCATCTTTAGTGTTTCGCAAATAGAAATACGATCAAGGGAATTCGCTTATGTTATCAGTGGTATTGAATCTTTTTCTAAAGCCAGTTTTCTTTAAATGGTTTGAGTCTGTTTAATTTTTTGTCAGTGTCATGGCCGAACATTCGCCATCATTTCATCGACTTTTCCCGTCGGAATCAATCGACCACTACGAGGAGCATTTCCGGCATTAAAATTCCTAGAACAAAAACCACAGAACTAGCATTGGATTATTCATTTGGGTATCATGGGCCCGTAACGTATTTTCAGTATAAGCAGCACAAATTTTTCCATGGACTTGTGCAGAATGTGTTGCCTTCACCGTAATAACGTTTGTGCATTATCATTCATCTTTAAAGCGCTTCAGCTTAATCTTTAGGTAAGCTTTCTTTAAAGGCATTTCAGCACGTCAACTACTTTTTCAACGGTTCTGTGTATATATATGTAACAACTGCTGCTTACTGATACGTAAAGAATTCAAGACTATCTGCTTCTTAACAACAGCCGTAATGAAATACAATTGTAAGTTCTTCCTATAAGCTATATAGGAAATTTTGCATGAAACAAATATTAATTGGAACATCTGTCTTATCTAGAAACTGCGAATTATAAGTTACCTTCTCCTCAGGCCACTTACTGAAACTATTTTAGAGGGTTTAGGGTGCAGAAATTGTTCTGTGGGGACAGTAGCCTGCTGCACTGTTCTATTATTGATATAGTGGTTCTCATGGGCTCGTTGATAGTATACCACGTCAGTTTCTAAGTAATGCTTTCCGGCAACTCCAGAGAACTTTGTTACTTGCTGGACGTGCCTGTTCAATAAGTGTTTTCAGGTAAACGGTGCGAACGTCAAATCCTTGTTGATGAGTGACCAATATTCACTCCACCCAAGAGATTTTATTTAACCTAGAAATTATTGTCTCGAGCTATTATTGTAAATATCTGTACCGAAAAAGGTTGCCAACATTTGTATATATATTATATTGGACATGTGTGTGCGTTCAATAATACATCTAACCCGTACCCATATGAAAGACTTAGGGGAAATGGTTGTAGAAACTTCTACTGGTATCAGGTAAATTATTTCCATTTAGTCAGATCCTCTATATACTGGGTGGGTGTGGTTAAGGGGTCCGTGCAGTACGAACAACTAGAAAGGCAATGCTTCAGAAGCGACCTCCTCCTATCACTATTATTGTGGTCTTTGTCCTTGGCTCAGTGCCACGCCTAGGCTGTGAACGCAGCCTATTTATTACTTTCGCCGTTTTCAGCGCTTTAGGCTGAAAAGATCGTGAAAGGCCAGGAGCAAAAAGGATACAAAGTTTGACTATCGCTGAGCGTTCAACGGGTTGAGATTAAGTGTTTTTGTTATTTTTCATCAAAAAAGTACAGTAACAGCATTGACGCCGCCGGAATAACGTTAACGAGAAGGGAACATTCATGTTTCTATACATTAAGATGTATCTCGATCGGACCAACTTCTGTGGAGCTCCGAATTTGAAAGGCTTTCGTTCAGAGCGATATGTCGAGCGGACATACATAATAGCTATATGTATACAAAGCTGAGACGTAGATGACGGATAAATACGCGAATGGTAACAGTTTTATTGGAAAACCTTCTTGCCAAAGGTTTATTAGTCAATACTGAGTATCGAAGTGATTTCTGCACAGCTGAGACGCACTTCGTTTTTACTCCATTTAATGCGAAAATTTTTGTGAGAGGGGTTTTTTTTTCACTCAGGCAATAATGCCTACGGGGTGGTAAGTGGGTGTGAGCAAAATTTGTACTAAATACATGTTTAATTTCAGCCCCCGCTAAATGCGACTCGAATCTCAGTTATTGAAAAGGCTTTCAAGAAGATGGATAAAACAGGCGACGGAGTCGTGACGTACGAAGATGTCAAAGGCACCTACAATGTCAAGGCTCATCCAGATTATCAGAACGGCACAAAGACAGAGAGAGAGATCCTTACGAAGTTCTTGAACGTATTTGAGCAGGGCGGTATACAGGACGGAAAGGTATTGGACGAAACGGATTAATTTTTCTGTATCTATCACTCCATTCAGACAGACATATGTCTCTAGTATAAATTGTTTCATAAAACCGCTTTATATTCTCAGCCTATAGTCTAACGGTCTAAACATGTGTTCCGCTCCGCTCTATAAGATACAGCTAGCCTTATTATTCAAGTCACACATCTTAACCTATAAGGTTAGAACCTATAACGAAAATATGCTTTAGAGCTCACCGTGTTTTTGTGGGTTAAACTTTGACATAGAACAGTAACATACGAGTTCAGTGTACATTCAGCTCTTTCGTCTAATTAAAACTTCCATTGACCCCGTTGGACACCATTCCTTTGATATACTCAATCATTTTTGGCCAATATTTTCATTTGAATTTCTCAGACAACAAAAAAAAACAACAAAAAAACAAGTTATTAAAAGTGCACGTACGTATATATCCTTAAGGTAGTGTTATTTAAAATAGTTGTTCCATTGACAAATGTGCACGTACATACGCGCAAAGCCTAGCGACTTTGCCCTACCCATGAGTGTTAGGTGGGGCAAGTTCTCCCCAATGTCAGAACAGAATACAGGGGTGGTGGTACATTTTGTTGTACAGTAGGCGCAATTGTGAGAGCAACCCCTCAATCTTTCACCGTTCGTTTCCTGTCCTTCAGGTCGACCATTTCACTGCTTCTCTTGATAATGAAAGAGCAATCTGTAAGCAGTAATTATGCCTTTTTATGGTCTTTAGCATTGGGTTGGGGTTTTTATTTGTCTATCCTTGGGATCAATTTTGGCCATTTCAATGGTCATTTTCGCCTGTGCATTTGCCATCGTTCGCTCGTTCAGTCTGTCGATACTTAATGGCATGAACACAGAAAATTCTACAGGATTTTAGAGTTATACGAAACATTTCAGTAACTGTTTTTCATTAACATAAATATGTACAGTAAATCCTTTATATATTACATTGGTGTATCTGTTTAGCTATTAGGCTGAAAAATGAGTCTGCTAGAAATGACCTAGTCGAGGATTGTTATGATTTGATTGAGCTATGACAGCTGCCGTGAGCTTTGAGCCTTAGAGAACCTTCCGTATCGATGTCCGGGGGTATATAGGTACTGCCAAAATGTGATTATTTGACAAGCGCCAGATTAATTGTGCTTTAATTCTGTGCATATACAGGTGACATGGGACGAATTCCTTGACTACTACTCTGGTGTGAGTGCCTCAATTGATGAAGACCTGTACTTTGATCTAATGATGCGGAACGCCTGGAAGCTCTAGAAAAAAAGCCATACAAATAAATATGATGAAGCAAAACGTATGTCTATATAAATCACTATCCGCTGCTCTTCTTCGCCTTTCGAATAACGAATCGACCTTTCTTTCTTCCATGGTCACAAATGGATAAGTATCTCAGGACCGGCAGGGTATTACTGAACCCTGTTATTTGAAGCTGTTTCTTATATATTGGTCCTTCATGCTTACTAAAGTGTGGACGTTTCACGTTTATATACGCTGATATTAAAGCGGAAAGTGCCGAGCTGCGTGTACTTGCAAGTCTATCGCTAATGTTCGATGCTGCGCATTCGTCTCAATGGCCAGGGTGATGATTTGTAATTTAATGTTCGATTTGGTACAACTTTTGAACTACAAATGAAAGGTTTTTAAAGGTTGAAGAAAAGATTCAAGTACGAATTTTCCAGTCCAGACATTCGGTCAAACAAATTCTAAGGCATCCTAATTTGATTCTTATACCAGAACGTTTTATGAGATAGTTTAATTGGAAATATGAAATTCTATTGATTCATTCGAGTTGAACTTTTAAGTTACAATTAGAATAACATGGAGTTGCTATTAAGTAAAAAAGAAGTAACAAAAGGAAACTAAATTCTAAGCAATTTATTTACCGAGTACTTATAAATTTTCTAAGTTAAATGTGCTGCTATCAGATATCCTAAAAGACTAAGTGAGAAAAAAAATTGCTTGGGGTGTGTTATTGATATTGAAAAGACTAACTAATTAGATATTTAGATTGGTCCGTTTTTTTTTTAAATGTTGCCAGCGCAGTACCATACTTTTTGTCAAGCATATCATCAAAAGTGAATTAATTTAACAAATATATGCAGTTAATTTGGCATTGACTCTCTGCATACGCTTATTTAGGGTCTATGCGTTGTGGGTCCCAGCCATCGTAATTACTAGATCATTTCTAACCTTTCTCGCAATGTAGGTTTTCTCTTATGGTATCCTTGAGAGATAGCCACCTTAAAGCAAACACGTCTGCAACTGTAGAATCGGCGCAAGCTTATTATGTGGATCGTTCAAAGAAAACGAAGGGATCAAGATTATAAAAAGGATAACGAGAAGGAAAATAGCGATAATATGGGTCACAGCCATGGCTGTTGAGGTAAGACATTATCCTGTGAGAGTGACACCATAACTTCGGTTCCATTCTGTTAATCATAAAGCGCCGCTTCTTGCTCTGCTTCAAATAAAAGTATAACTTAGGTACTGCTTGTGATCACACTTCTGTGTGACAAAACATAATTTTGGCCAAAGATCTATTTTCTTTTTCTAAAGTCCTCTTTCCTATTAAAGTGACTATATGATACGAGAAATAAAGCACTGTCTATATACGCGACGCTAAACTGTTGTAGTCATTGGTTCCTTTAAGTGTCTACTGCAATCATTATGCTTTTCTAAGTATAAGTTCGTTTTGTTCATAACTATGAGGCGTAAAATTCAGCTGGCAAACCTGCCAAATATATTTGGGAATAACAAAAGCAATAGACCATATCTATAAACACACATACATTCTTCTGACATTTGTTTGGAGGCAATGGAGTAGTAAACTATGAAATATGAATTTATACAAAGGGTATGTCGAAGCCGGTGATCGGATAGATATCTACGACAGTTATGATGATGTGATTTGGCGCGTGCACGTTTGCGTGCACGATGCCAAAATGGAAGGGCCGTGCTATTTCGGAGCGTCACTTCGTAGCGGGTTAAGTTCTGTAATCAACTAAAGTTTCAACGAAGTGGGAAGGGGTAACGTATCTATCAACCTAATGTAAGTTGTCACACAATAAAGACCTGGCCCCACTCATCGAACGGGCCACTCCTCTCTGCGCGAGTGAACTTCAAATCGTCCGAGTATTAAAATGTTCTGCTTGAATCCGATTGACTAGGTACTACCTATCACAAAACCGGAAACGTTTTACGTGCTACCATAGTGGAAGTTTAACGTCCTCGTAATAGGACACTGCGTACACGTTCACCCACTGGTCTTAGATACGCGTAGTAGTCCAGGCTCAAAATATGACGTGGACACGCTTTATTCGATGCTGGAAGGGAGCCGTCCGAAGCAGTGCTTAAATAGCAACAATAAAACTCGTATATCTTATGGTAGCCACGTTAGGCGGCATCCCGAAGTATATATACTAAGCATATCTCTCATCTATTTAAATATACTATTGCACATCAAACGGAAGTAGTTTTCCCTCTAAAATCATTCTCTGTATGACAAAAGCAAGCAAAGCTCGCGTCTGTTTCTCTAACTGGTTCTTTTTTCTCTAAATACACATTTTTTCTCTACCTAGTTTTTTTTAATGAAAATTCTTCTACTACGACCAGTTTGCGTAAGTGTACATGCACATATTGTAGCTAATTAGCTGATCACGCATTCGAATACTGCTCTGGTTAAGCAGCAGCGGCTCAAAGATACTAACCGTAAACTTTGCCATGGCCGGTGGTACTGCATAGCTGGTACTTATAGGACAGAACCCTTGCAGCATCGAGGAAAACATCGTCCAAATGGGGGTCTGGATGCAATGGACGTATCTGGCTGGGTAGCTATGATGCAATGTAGAAACCCAAAATAAGTGTGTCCTATATATTTGTCATAATAGACAGGATTTATGTAAAGTAGACTAAATATAAATGTACTAATAATCTGTGCACTGCAATAACTATGCGACACACCAAAGGCGTAATAGTATTTTAATTTTGCCAGCAAAAGGACGAGCCAAAGCCAGTTACTTCTCCATGGTCAGCTGAACGAGATGGGACTCAACGCAAGGTGGAATGGGTCTCTGGGTTGTTTAACGTGCGCTTGCGAGTCTCATTGCTTTGATTGTCATCGGTCAGATCCATACATTCGCAACTGTCCCTAATCGTTACCTCAGAGCAATGTGGGCCTGCATCGAGCCGGTTCAGGTGTCGCTAGCACGTGACTTCAATGTACAGTAACAATACCTGGGAACTCGGAATAAAGTAAAAGATAGCGGGTTTCTGAACCTACATGCATTAATTAGTCTAAGGAAGTGAATGCGTTCATTGCGAGCGTTGAAATGAGCGTCGATTCAATAAGATGTATAACGATTTTGCACTCAAAAACCACTACGGAATTTCCAACATTGTGAGATATGCTGCTTCGTCTATCAAGTGATTTCGTTTGTCACCGTTTGACTCAAGGTCCTACTCAAGGTTGAATTTTTAATACGGTAAAGAATAGTCATGTTGATGTTTGCTTCATTTGATGTTTTTCGATTGTCTATGGAAGCCAGAATCTTTAAACTGTACTCGGTGAAAACAAAAAGAGGCTTATTTAACTTAGGTGATTTCAAACGAATCCGAACAGTTGGATTTTGAAGTTGGTTCCCTGGGTCGCAGATGTTATTTTGAACTTATGAATGAAGTTAATTTTGAATGATCGTGCTACAGCAATTTCGGGTCGTTTCGGCGGCCCTTGAGCTCACTTCCGAACTTGACGAGGGTGATTCGACTTATATTCGACAGTATTACAATACAACGGGGGTATAATGTTCGATGTTAATAAAACTCGTCTGAAGATACCAGAGGAACTTCGGGAGCTCACTTAGGTCGTACGGGACAAGCCGCTTCTAATGGTCAAAACCATCCACAAAATTTCGGTTTGAGAATCCCTTATTACTTTTAAAGGATTTCTAATATAGCCCCTACAGTCTGACAAGCCGTCATGAGTAGGAGTTAACCCTTAGTTTGCTTTTTTCGAGAAGTGGCAATACGGAACTTTTGTATGTAGTTCTGACTATGGCTGGAGCGGTAAATATTTTCAGATGATTTTGTGTCGACTCAACGAGGTGTGCATGCGGGTGTCTCGCTAATCCCACGACTCTAATTGGATTTCGATCAGCGATAGTCAACTGGTGTTCCGTATAAATCATTGTGTTGATTCGCGCATTCGAGTACGAACTACCTGGAAAAGAAAGTTCACTCAATAGTCTGCTTAAAATAATGGTGTATATTCTTCGCTCAGCAGCATTGTATCTCGTATTGTCATATAGTAAGACTAGGCCAAGCTTTGATTAAGCTTTCTTCTATATCTCTTTTAATGGAGCAAAGAATAGTACTGGTGAATTAATTTAGCCTGCGTGAGGGGAGTCCTGAACAGTTAAGGACGTGACCAAATCATCCCATTCACAATACAGAAACGCATGCTGCCTTTAAATTTTGTGTTAACTCTTCTAAATATGTTCGCATATAACAGATGATCTGCGAAATGAATGCCTTGATCGCCGATCGCTGCTTCTAGCATTAATAAAAACTTTTTTATTATGAGAATTCAGCCAGCTATAAATCACGTGAACGCAAATCTCTTACTCCTTTGGAAGGTGCTCAGCAATGTCTTCTTCGGTGTTTTACGCAAGCTTAGAAGAACAAGTTTAACAAGACGCACATACAGCATGCACGTTAGTCGGAGATCAGGATCAAGCAGGACCACGTTGGTTGTGTATCGATACATCTAAATACAAGCTTTATTGAAAAGGCCTTTTATGCCTGCATGGCAGGAGACAATAATGCTAAATTGCCTATATTTTTCAGGTTGGTTTCGGCCAAGGCAACGTATAATAATACTAATTTTTCAGGTCTAACTCGTCAAGCAAGGAGATTGAAGACTGCTATACTTATAGAATAGTCTTTAAACATGCTGTTGTTCGATCTCAAAATTAGCATGAAACGGCCATGATGAACGAACGAACTGCTATCTACTTGATTTGAAACATAATAGCAGATAGAAAAGGTATTTTAGATCTTAACTGATAGTACCTGATTAAGGGAGGAGCAGTTCCCATGCGCTAATTAGATGGGAACCATCCCAGTGGGAGTTGTTGCTACTCAACAGCGTACCCGTTGGTGAGGCCGTGAAGTCGCTGAAGGAATAAAATATCCAATGTCCACCGCACATTATAGCGATCATCGTCGACAAAATAATCCAGAACGCCGCCAAGGTACAAAATATCGGATGTTTCTACGAAACATTTGAGTAAATCGTAATCTAATGAAACGTAAAACGAAGGTAGTCTACGCCGTTTTCAATGTATTCGGCATTATTTTATTGACTGATTATTTTATTAGTAAGACATTTGATACCATTCCAGATTGATGGTTACATTTGCACTATGTATTATACCGTATGGCTGTGTGAGAAAGTCCCTCTTACTCGCTGATTTTGCTTCAGATTCAGACATTTCGGCGTGGAAATGAAGCTTTAGCGATATTGGCTTCCCGACAATACTATTTTCCTGAGGATGTTCTAGCCTTAGCAAAAGCTTTCAAACTGAATTTTGCCCCAGTTGAACTGGGTGACGCTCTACTTCGTGTAGGTGTCGACTCAGCGAAATGCAAGCGTGAACGTGAAGTACGATTGCCGTTTACGAAAAATCGCTTATTGCGCAGACTTCCCACGTTTCATCTTTTCCAGTATAAAATTGCCCACCATGATGATGGGTCCGTGAAGAGCCTTTGTTACCGCCAAACACTTAGTGTCATTGAAGTTAGTATTAAGTTGCACATGCTTGCAGCTCGTTTCAGTTGTGTAAGAAAAAAACAAACAGTTATAAACGATCTATTGATTTTACTGAACTAGAAGCAGCTTTTGTGTGTAAAATTACTTTATATTACGTTCTATTATCGTCCCCTTTCAGTAATTGCTGATTCCAATGTATTTAGATCATGGGATCGACACGTTTTTCGATAAGCGTTGGAGAGCCGTCGTCTCCTTCCCTTGTAACTGATGGATGCATTAGGCAGTAGCGGAGTTCCTGCAACAATGAACTTCCTCAGTCAAGGGATTCTTATCGATAAGGATCCCTACAAGCTGTCGTACAGTTCATTGCTGATAGTTAAGTTTTTTTATAGACGCCTGAAATGTACATATGGAAAAAGTTGGCAATCAAATTTAGGTAGATGCTCCACTTAATAAGACCATTCAACAGCTTTAACAGCAATTAAAGGTGATCATGTCAAAATAGTTGAAGTCAAAAAACGCTTCCTGAAAATCCTTCATCGACCTGAAGCAGTGGCTGATATACTAAAAGGCCTTTAAACAGCTACAGTTCGTGGCATTTATGGAAAATCAGACCGCACTTAGAGGAGAAATTTATTTTGATGCAGATTTGGGTCCAATCAGATGAGACGCCGCTTATATGAATCAGACCTCTGGAGACGTCTTGACTGGCTCTGCAAATTGGTTATTTTTTTTAGTCAGATATTTTTGAATACTCGTCTTCTTTCTGTGTTCGGTCAGCTGGTTTTTTAGGTTGTTGTAATGAGTTTGATGGGATGTCTAGCGTCAGCATCGAGCATAAAAACTCAAAATGTCTAGATTAGGTCATTGGGCTCTTAAATAGAGAAATCCGAAATTTGCTTGCGTCAAAAAAATTCTAATTCTAGTCCACAGTCCTCTAAATTAATTTTTTTTGTTCCAGTAAACTAAACTCAACGCTGGCTTTCTCCCGTCGAATATAATAATTCCTTATAAATATAATGGCATGGTTGTTTTAGTTTTTCGGTGAAGACGAGCTCCAGCTCGTCTACGAATCTACACCCAAGGCCGTCCCGGTTCAATGTTATTTGTCGTTGAAGTTAACAATCGCCGCCTTTCGTGCAGCGCCAATGAACTTCATTTACTGGTACTTAATGGAAAGCTTGGTCCACTTCGCATCGTAGAGTTGTTCAGTAAGTAGGTACAACTGTAAACTAGTAAATTTTGCAATACTAGATAATCAATGATAGTCACAGTCGGATATTTCTCCGAATATATGTAAACAGTAGAAAAGGCGTGTATATCTGTTCATTATAATATATAGCTAATCTTTTAAAAACTTTATTCGTAACTTATGTTATTGTGACCAAACAGAAGAACGAACGTTCATTACGAGCGATTTTTATACAGCAAAAGGGCGACAAATCATTAGTCTCATCTAAATTATTCAAGTGAGGAGAGCTTTTTTACAATGCCCCTTTATGGCAAATGTCATCCAAAGAGCTTAAGGATAAGTTTTCCAAGATTTTGGGCTTGCACTATTCTAGATTTGCGAACGGATGCAGTTGTATTGCATCATGGATGAATAAAGCGACAAACATATCTTCTAATTGCTTATAAAATTTCTTAATTTTATAAATAGGTTAAGTACTCGGAGCACACCCGAAATGCTGATTGACGGTGGATAAACCTAATGAATGAACATATAATCATGCAACAGTTGAAACATGACTGATTTCTGTGGGGCGAAAATACACAGCGTGACTTGAAGTTTAGGACCGGTCCTGCCTACGGCAACACATTTAGAAGGCAAGAGCTGAAATGCCAAACAAGAGTGTCATTTCTACGGAGGACAGCTTTTGATAGATGTAAAATAGCATTACTACATGTAAACGAAAGGACGCGGAACCACGTCAGCCCCAAGGGCCGTACCTCATTATATCTAACACGTCAGTCGGTGGCTCAGTTGCTCTAACAGCGAACAAAGATTTAACTTTTAAAGTAAGTTAAGTCTTTGTTTTGCGTATTATTCCTACACATGGTAGGGTGTCTACAACATAGTTAAGTGCATTGGTTTATAATTTTAGGGCTGAAATATCACTGAAAAGCAGTTAATTCATTCATTATGTTAACTAAATATACAGGTTGGAAAATTTCTTCATGGTCTACTCATGTCTGATAAATCTTATTACAGTGATACAATGATCTGCAGTATAAAAAAAATGAACCTACATTTTCGATAGAAACAGCAAGTTATTAGATAATAATAATCTGAGATATTCCTATTGTTTTAACCGACTTTAAAAAATTAATTTACGAAAAACTAGCATCAGGTTCCGCCTTTTTTGATTTGTAAACAGATTACAAACGCAAGTTGGCCGGCTGAGGGATTTATCTAGCATCATCTAAGATACAAAAGCATACATACATATATGTACATGTTGCCTATGCTCGAAATGATAACATACTCTTAGCCTCTATGTATGCATTTGTTTAGCAGCAATGAACACTTTTTTGATATTATCTTGGGCAACCCTCAATTCTTCCTCTGCGGTTTTTTGTAGGTTTGAGGAGCTTCGTAAATTCTTGAAACACCGCAGTATAACTAATCCTACGTACACAATCATCCCCTGGTATTTATTAAAAGTAGCAGCATCTGGTGATATTCTGCACCATTCATTTGTTCTTGTCATATTAAGCCACGATGGAAAAGCGGTTATCGAGACAAAAAGAACTTATGCATTACTTGCCCATAGGTCAAATTCATTTGGTTAACATTCTCTGAATAAGCAAATGCAAAAGTTAACAATAAACAAAAGAAGACTTTTTCGGTAAACGTTATCTAAGCAGGGTCCGTGAAGGCCATCAACATGAACTACAAAATCCATAAGGTTTACCCGAAGAGCTCTGGGAAGGCTGCTATCTCTGCTTAGTGCGGCTAAAAATAGGGAAAAAAATCCTTTGGATTCTGATAATTGATTCTTCTTCGCTTATCAGTAATTTGCAGAACAGAAGAGATGAATATATGTATAATAACAGGCTAACTAGAAAGAACGAAGATTAGATTATAATCTAAAATAAAAGTAATAAAGTTTAAAATAAAAGTAATAATTACGAACACGGTTTTACCTCTCACTCGTAGATATAATGTCAAATTACTACTCGCTTTTTCGTCAGCATACCGCGTTTTTGTCTAGCCACGGAAGCCGTTTACTGATAGAGTACAAGTCTAATATTCAGCGTCGTGGCTGTATTACAGTAGTCAATAGTGATAAGCGAGGATTAACCCATACCGCTAAATATACTCAAATGAGAAAACGATCTGCTTAAAAACTTATTATGAATTATTGCAGTTCCTTTAATTCAGACCTAAGATGAGTCGCTTTGAAGATGAGTGAAGTTTTTACAAACGTTCACTATATTTACTACTTTATTACGACAAAAAGTTAAAGCTACTCAGGACCACAAAAAAATTGTACTGTTTATGGCACAAAACGCGTCATCGGAAGAAACATGGTAAACATTTCGATATGAAAGATGCTCCTCGGAGTAGATGACAATTACGAAGAAAGTTGATGACATTATTGCAAACACACGTGATGCAACCATGACATCGCCAAGGAACTAAACATTGACTACCAACGAGTTTAAATCATTTAAAGAAAATAGGCTATAAAAAAAGAGTCAATTTTTGGGTGTTACACGGTTAGACGCAAAAGGATTTATTCGGTCGGTTTTCCGTCTGCGAAACTTTACAGGAATGTGACGGAATCGGGCCATTTCTCTAGAGGTTGAGCATGGATAATGAAAAAAAAAACAATAAGATACAGAAATAATGTGCAAACAAAAAGATAAGCTCTACAACCCGCAGCAAAACTGACGGTAGAGAAGAAAGTCTTCGGTTAGATGGAATTTGTACGCGATGAGCAAGATACGGCAAATAACGAATTCGTTTTAATTTGAAAAAAAAAACGATTTGCATTCAATTAAGCATTACTTTGCTACGGAAAATCGCCAAAGCCAGGACGATTCTGCGCAAAACTCATCATTTCTAATGTCTTAGCATCTTCAGTTAATTTCATCAACAACTTTACTTGCTTTTTTAATTTTTCCGCCAGTATCCGAGCTATGGCCACAATCACAGTCATTTGCCGCTGTTCAAGTAAAAATAAAATTCAGAAGCAGAATTGCTTATAAGAATGGATTTCTTGAGAACTTGAGAGAATGAGAAGTTGGGCGACCAAAAAATGAAATTATTATTGTAATTTGCTATATAAAAAAAGATCACAGGTTAGCAGAAGTTTTTCCACAAAGCGGACACTTCAAATTAAGCAACGTACTCGTTCCATTTTGCTATCTGTACATGGAAGTCATTTTAACATCTTAATATTTGCTACGGCAGCATAATTAAGTTAATTAATGAGTGCCCTGAGCCCCAGATCTGCAGGCTAGTAGCTAAAAATCACAGGCATCATTGCTATTGGGAGAGAGCAGTATGCTTATGTTTAAGGCTGATGCTATATGAAGTGGTACGTCGGCTGCGAGCCACTGGTGTCCCGTGACTGGTGTTTCAGTGTTAGGAAAACACAACTCTAGATGACACCTCCAGTGAATAAAAAGCAAATGGATTACAAACTGTTACCTTAATAAACTCATTTTAGGGACTGGTTACACATTTGGATTTACATCTGGATTATATGATGACAGGGGATTAAGGATGTTTCAAACCAGCTGATATGCCTATATATATCTACTTATATATTTACTTTAAAGTATACATAGATGTGATATTGTGCAAAAACTGATTGGCAGTTTACTGTTTGAACTCATATGAATTGAAGTTTCACAGTGAAATTATAACGAGTGTGCAAACTTGAGCCTGTTACCACACTTAAGCGAACAGAAGTACACTGTTTGCATTGGGAAAAAATTATACCAAAAGAGCATTTCTAGCATGAATTCAAATTTGAGTTTGACCACAACTATAAGAAAGATTATCAATAAATAAAAGCGTTTTGTCACACTTTTGTTAGGCCCATTCAGTCAACATAGCTATCGGTTCGCCAAAACCAAAAGCCAGAAAACAAGTCCAGGTATTCATCGTCAAGTAAATCTATTACCATTGAAGCCAATATCAATTATGTAGAGATGACAAGTCAAACCATTAAATCGATGTTCGTTGGTAAAGCTCGGATTAAAAGATATGCATGTATTATTTAGCACGGAGACGTACCAGCAAGCAATGCACAATATTTACTCAGTGAACTATTTGTTTTGAGTATTCTTTTTCAAGTATATCTGTATTCCAACAATTTTAAGCTAAGCTTGTTTAAGATGTGAACCGCTTTTTAAGGAAACTGGACGCTCCTGCATTATCCTAACCAAATTTAACTGCTTAGACATTTGACTAGAACTATGAGGGTCTCACCCACTAAGCCCAAAATTTCGTATAGTTGGACCTTCCTTTTATACTATAACCCCAAACCAGAAGTGTGGACGTAATCCTAGCTAAATAAGCGTACATTGATATGTTGCACTATAATATAAATTAAAGCCAATTCCATCTGAATTATAATTTAATAAGCTCGATTGATATACACTGAGTCAGCCAACATCGAAAAACCCGTTGCTGTCTTTAAGCATTATACCTAACCACGCAAATCCTATTCATTTCAGAACTTTGACTATCTGATGATTTCCGATCTATTTTTGGACAAGATGTCAACATTTCCAGGAAGGATTCCCGAGCTTCCAGGAATCATGATTGACAAACTAGAGGCAGATGCTAGCCTGAACGCTTTCTTCATTTCACATGACCATGCGTTAGTATCCTTTCATGTAAAGTGACTAAAGCTTATACACAAAGGGAATATAAGCTAATTTCGCTATAATTCACATAACAATTGGTGCCGTCACAGAGGAGGAAATACATACCCGTTTCTTTAGCAAACACTTTATGACGCTAAGCTGGCCTCACTACAATTAATTCCTTTCTGAGCAAACGTCAGTTTAAGACACTTATGTCATTGGTTCATATAGCTGCACAAAATGAGCCTACCTGGGCCTGAGGTGGGTCCGTGTTTGCCATCAGTAAGCCCAGTACCTTAACAAGGTTATAAGAAAAATGATTTTCTTTCCAGGAAGGCCGTGATTACGGCTAGAAGAGACAATAATGTCTAATAATCTACCGCAAGTCAAATATAATTATATGTCTTATATGTCATAAATTGACATGAAGCTCAGCTCTGCAGTATAAGGTCAAATTTTGAATGACCAAAGTACTGACACATTTACGAAATTACATTGTGTCCGGGAATTGAGGAATAACAGTAATAATATGCGCATCGTTCTTCAGGCTAATTTAACTACACTGCAACTGGTTAACTATCGTGGTTTACACGGTTCTCGTACAAATAGGCATCCATGGTAAATTCTGATGCGTATTCCTAGCTATCCTCGATGTAGCGCGTATGTCGACAACATTGTTGTGTTTGAACGTTGCGTTGTGCCACTGAAGTCGTCAAAATTTCTTCCAACCACATACGGCACGTCGTTGACAACCTCATGTGATATAATGTTTGCGAAAATACGATACGTTAGTTTAACTTGACATATAGAAACATATGTGCATTACCACCACGCAGAATCGCGCTATGAGGCCATCTCGTTCTTTTGATTTCCTTGTGAAAATAGTATCTACGGCGTCCGGTTTCATGTACGGTCAAAAATAAAATGGTTCATATAGCTCTACCCCACCCTGGCTCTTATAGCCCCCAGAGTAGTCATGTCCTGTAACTCAATCTAGCTACTATTCGAAAACGTAACCTGATTTTAGTTTGTTTTTCAAAAGTTTTCTTTGTTTTTCAACAAAATTGGCTGCAAAAACTACTAAACAGCCCCATATAGTCTCTCTCTTCCTCTCCCCTTTCTCTAGATATATGAACAGTGGTTAATTGTGAGCTATATTGAACAAGCATAAGCGCCAGAAATTAAATTTCGGCATATATAAAAAAGTATATATAAACATAGGATACGTTCAAAATTTGTTTAGATACTGTCTTAGAAACGAAGTATAAGAAGAAATCAAAACTTAGTCTGGCCGCCCTGTGTATACACCAATGCGGAAAAATTTTGAAATGATTGCATTGATTTTAATAGTTTTCAGTGGGTCGCTTTAGTTCAAAAGGAAAACTCTAAAATGAAAATCTCAGAATAAGAAATCTCACTTTCATCTTTACAAGTTTAAAAAGCATTCTTAAAGACTTACATTGGATGCACTACTAGGTAACACTGCCACGATACTGCAATACATCATGTTTGTAAGATAGAGAGAAATCGTATTAATGGATTGTCATTATTAATAAATGCAAATTTATTAATAAATAAAGCAACGACAAAGCAAAGCACGATAATCTGCGTCGATCTGCGTCATAGGGAAACAAAGAAATGCGAGCAAGTTCTTTCGATGCTATGTTGATAGGCTGTGTGTAGTGTGACTTGGCTTTAATTACCCTTTTTTTGTAATATTGATTATTTTATGATAATTTTTCAGCTCCATATATTCATGTTGCTAAAATAATTGAACTGTTTGTTGATACACGCTTTGAGTAAAAGCCCAAAAATACTATTACACCACCAACCATAACGTCAATAATGAAATATGTTACGGTTAATTTGGTGGAATTATGAAGCAGTGTATACTGCTTTGCGCCGCCTTAAGAAGGAAAGAAATCACGATATCTCATTGTTTTTCAATGAAATGGGACTACTGTTCTTCATACTTAACTTCCCTATAGCGTATTATTTTTACCTTAATATACATTTTTCTTAACGTAATATTTTTCCGCATCAATTTCCTTTCATATTATTTTAGCGATCACAAACGAGGCATAACGGACCCAAATTTTCAAGAATTCATGAAGTGCAAAACTTCTCAGCGAAAGATCTACGTGTCACCGATTACGGCTCAGATGCTACTCAATCGTGAGGAGCTGACGTTTCTTCATGAGTTCATCATTGCGCTTGAGCTGGATACACCTCACGAAATTCGCATTCGGACGTCTTGTTCAGCTGTTCTATCACAATCTGACAGCCCACTCGTTGGTCGAAACTTTTCGATCAATGAGTCCGAAACGATTGAGTATACGCTTACCGTGACATTGACTTCTGCCGAACATATCATGGGCTCAGTGATGTTCTTATTCGAAAAAACTATTGAACCAAAAGTTGCAAATCCACTGTTCCGATGCCTCTACACAGGTGACTTCCGTTTAACAATTGATGAGATACGGTCCAAGAGGTGTCTTCAAGATCGAAGCCGTAGCGGTGTCCCATGTGCAAAAGTTTTTGACGCTGTATACTTCGACTCAACGTGGTGCACACCTCGTAACCTGTGGTCCATTCCCCGACGAGAGGATGTTCTCGAGGAGCTTGGTCCCATCGTTAAACGCCATTTGGCTGCTAAGGCGGAAAATATTGTTTGCCTGTACACCAACTATAATATAGGATACGAGAACCTTCTGAGATGGTTGGCCAACTTCTCTGAATCGAAAATTCATGTTAACGAGAGTAGGTTGATGCTTTATAGAGGCTTTCCGGGAATACAGGATATTTTCACTACCAATACCGACTGCCGTGTACATTTCTGTCAGGAGGGACCACCTCAAACGTATAGAAGCTGCGAGCGTGTAAGACATGGTTTTAAAACTACAGTGTTACGTCTAAAGGCTTCGTATATGTGGTTCATTAAAGCGTGTTATATTAATGCTGAAACTAGTACTTGCATGAGGAACCCGCGCTTTCCAAATGAATACAATGTGTGCTGGTCAACGCATTCGAGTCTTGAGGAAATAATGGACTTACTTGACTATTTAAATCCTTCCCGGGCTTGCCCAAACGTTGTGGATAAGAGAACTAACGAAACGGAGATTTTAGATTTGCTCCGCAGACGAGCTACAACGCCCAAAGCATGGCACCCCAATCATCCGCTCGACTCGTTTGAGCCACCTCAGCTACGAATACAAGCGATTTTTCCAAAAAAATTATCACCAAAGAAATTTATGCTCGACTCCTCTGTCAGGCGAGATATGTCTTCAAGTTCAGACGAAGATTCACCTGAGGAAACTTTGGAAGAGCGGTTACGGAAAAAGGGCAGACTGGCTGTAACTCCTAAACCGCGAAAAACTATCACTTTGGATCATTTACGACCCAGTTAGTTTTATGCTTTAATCATTTAAAATTATTTGTGTGACAATATATAAGGTGTTCTCAGTCGACTGATGATCTTTTATATTGTGAAGAGGCTATTTTATTCTGCAATCGCTGTTTTTTCATAAAACTGCAATTTAAAATTTGTTTTTATATTCCTTCATCTACATAGAAGCAAAAATAGTATTGATTGTTGGTAATTATTGCAATGAATAGTAATGAATAATTATTGATTACCATCATCTGCCGTAAACACTATTATTTAGTGTTAGTAAATGTTTATTCACTGTTTATATTAGAGGTTTTAAAAAGCACAAAATGGTAACTTTTTCAGTATTATAAATTTTTGAACCTTCATTCAGCTTTATCGTAGATATTTACTTTATTTCTTAACAAACAAGACATGTACAATCTACTGTTTAAGATGTACTCGGAATGTTATAGATACAAAACGAATGTCTCTAAATAATACATAGAAAGCCTTTAAGGGGTTTTTATAGAATTGCGGTATGTCACTAGTGGTGTTCGGAAAAACGGGGATTTTTATGTACTTAGAAAGTGATGCGGAACCTACATGAGAACTTATAATATTGGAGCGCTCTAATGAATATATTTGCCGTAGATATCTTAAGGACTTACGCGTGACGATTTTATCAAATAGGTATGCCATTTTCAAATAAAAGCAGTGAATCCGGTGGAAGTAATTTGCTCTTAACACGGACAAAAAGCCATGTCGTTTCTCATTGACAGTTTTACCAACTCTTGAGTATAGGGGCCTCAAAAATGGGTTGTGACTCATTTACGCACGGTATTTTTATGATTAAGTGTAATGTAATTCTGTTTTAGGGAAAAGAAGCTTTATCTTTGTTATAACATAGTATAAATCAGTAATATATGGTGAGTGTCTTTTAAATCGAAGCACTTTGTAAATATTATATTTCCCTATTATAACAGACAAATCCGTATCAGCTATCTGTGTATGGCAGAAAGAAGACAAAGCTGCAGTAGTAGTCAAACATATAAGAATATACCTAAGAGGTATACAAGTCAAGCGTTGCTCTAAAATTCTGACGAGAACGGGTACATATAATCTCTACTAATTATACCACAGTACAACATGAGGGATACATCTCAAATATTGTGTTGTACAACGATTTATTTCAAGTTTGCTACACCGAATGATCGCGTTACAATGTCAATGCAACCTAAGTCTCGAGACGTTATGAAATAACCATTGAAGCCATTAACGGATAAGCTATCTATGTTGTATCACTACATATTGAATAGGCTACTCACCCTTAGATGTGTTAAACAAGAATAATAAGTTTAAGTGATAATCCATTAATTCTTTAAAAATCGACTATTGACATATAAAATTCGCGGAGACATTTAATGATTTACCGGAAGCGATTAGTCGAGTTATTAGGTGTTATGATATATGTTAACTCGTGGGTATTCTCGATTAAGATTTAACCATATGAAACGTGTGCCAATGACATAAAACTGTTCCATTAAAAGAGTAGATTAAAAATTATATAATAATATTATTCAAATAAGTTTTCTCATCTACGTATATGTGACTATATTATATATACATTGTATGTAGAAGGTAAAAATGTCATCATTAATATTTGAAATTGAATATATGAAAAAAATGTAATAGACTGAAATATTCATTTCAGTAGTCATTTTCATAATATGTTTTCCCTCTATTGATCTATTTTATCATATTACCTAAAAGTTCGATATATAAATGGTAGGCAAAATTTTAAACAAACCATAAAGATCCAAAGGAATATTGGTTGCTGAGCTTTATGGAATGATGGGCGTTTTTTCTTGACTGATTTTAACCAGTGCTTAAATAAAAATCAC